GTAGCAATACAAATATTATCCACTTTTGAATGAGACATAGTTGAATTTACAACGGGAGCCAGTCTGCCTGCAAAGCAGACATTTAAAAAGAAAAGAAAACCCCAGAGATGGTTGTTAACTTTAAAACATCCAATCTGTCCTCCCCCCATGAAACTTCTTGCAATGGCTCGGGAACACTTAAGTTGATCGGCGTGACATTTGGTGAATTTTCTTAACTGTTGGCGGGAGGTCAATAGAGAAAATGTGTAGGGTGTCCATAGTTGTCATGGCAACTGATTAAAAATCACTAGTTATTGAAACAACTGATATGTTCTTTTATTAAAGAAAAACTATAGAAATATACGTGGGGGTCAAAACTATTGTTTTTTTTCTGCCGAGACCTATCACGTATAAGCACTAACGACTAGATTTATTGGTCACGTGACCAAGTAAAATGAATGCTACTACACTTTTTGGGGGTTGTATGCTGTCTTTATGCAAATCGTTGTTAGTCGAGAGAGTTAAGTAAGAAGAAGCGCAAGAAGTAAATCTCTTCTGATGCAATCAGGTAAAGCGATTCTCCACCTACGCCCCACTAAACACCATACAGATCACGCCACAGTGACTCATAGCACAGTCTGTGGTTCGTAGATAGCGTCATCTCGTTGAAGTGTTTACCACACTGCACAACGATAATCATGTATAAATAAATAGCGTGGGCTCTACTTGAGTCGTGAAACAGTTTTGAAAGTTTAATCAACTTTGATACTTAACACACATCCAGGTTTTGGTTCCTGGATGGCAAGCAAACAGTCAATCAACTGTAATTATTCTTATTTATTTCTTAATTTTTTTTTGGGGGGGAGGGGGGGGGGGTCTGGGGCTGGGGGACAAAGTGCCGATGGAGAATTGTTGCAGCACTTTCCACAACTCGTCATTTACTGCTGGATATCTAAATACCGATGAATATCCGATATATCCTTGAACCAAGTTGCCTCCCACTAGAAATTGATTAGTCCTAAAATTAACTATGGTCAAGGGGTTTAACAGAAGTGGGGCCCCTCCGAAACCGTAACTGCTGGATAGAAATACCGATAAATATCCGATATATCTTTGAACCAAGTTGCCTCCCACTGAAAATTGGTTAGTCCTCTAATTGACTATGGTCAAAGGGGTTTAACAGAAGTGGGGCCCCTCCGAAACCGTAACTGCTGGATAAAAATACCGATAAATATCCAAAATATCTTTTGAACCAAGTTGCTTCCCACTGGAAATCGGTTAGTCCTATAATTGACTATGGTCAAGGGGTTTAACAGAGATGGGGCCCCTCCGAAACCGTAACATCCAGCGCCTCCACTCTCGCCCCAAATGAGAACCCTGGCTATGCAGCTGCCAAGATGACTCAATATTTAAAGTATTTTCTCTATAATTTATGCTCTTTACCTACAACTTGTAACCTTGTAACGTAGGTACTGTACTTGTGTTTGGTAGATTTGTCTTGTTTCTGTATGTTTAGGGATGAGCCCAAACTTCCCTTTTGCTTCATTATTATCCCTACATGTTGATATTTAGCCGATCAATAAATTACATATGTAACTAATTATAATCTAATGCACACTATTATTAATATTATTATTTATTGTTTTAACTGTTTCCAACACGAGATAAACGTTTAATTGTTAAATGTGAAAATGTTATATAGCGCAAGCAGTCCTGAGGGAGCTTGCGCAGCGCACTCTGTTTCTGGAGTCGTTCGCGTCCCAGAGAACAGTTGATCACAGACCACATTTTGAAGAAGGTCGCTTGACCTTTTCCCCCCCTTTATTAGTCATGTAGTATGTGGAGTAAAGTGTCAGTTGCTAAAGAAAAACATGTTTTTGACTTAAAAAAACACCTTTCATTGGAGATACAAGTGCAAGGACAAAGGTATTTAGGTCTTCTAATGACAAGGGGGGGGGGGGCTGCTCATCGTTCCGTTATCCTTATTTTCATATAATGGAAATGATTTTCATATTGACATGAATATTGGTTTCTGTAATATATCCGTGCATGGGTTTTCCCCGACCCCGCCTTCCAGCCAATCGGGGCGCCTTTACAGCAGAAATTTGGCCAAAGCTGTTGATTAGTGTTTAGGTGGTATTCAAATTTCTTCATAACACAGGGAAGACACTACGTTAGGCGCCCGCTGAATTGTCGTTTAACTCGGAGGTCTAGACGCAGTGTTGTTTGCATAATCTACAACTATCATAGACGCTTGCCGTGCAAGCGTGTATTTCATGACAAAGTAGATGCACATACAGGCGCTGGACAAACTTCACATGCTGTGCAGTGAACTCCGGCCGAGAGTCAGGTATCAACTTTTCCTTTTAAAATGTGTTATTGTAGTTTTACGTGGTAAGCGGTTAGCACGCGGCGGGAAGCAGACCACCAGTCTGTCCTGTAACCACGGAAGTACATAATGTACATGTCGGTATACACGTACGTGTGGTCGGTTTGTGTGCGGTAGCGGATTACTGAGCTGTACTGTCACCCGTGTCACACGGCCAAGGTCCCTGCCAGATCCATCCAGGTTAAGGTACCTTCAGGCTGCGATACATGGGAGCCATGCGGGTTGGCGCTGACAGGCCTCCCTATGGGACTTACTGCACAAAAGCGAAAGAGTTTGTCCAGATCCATCCAGGTTAAGGTACCTTCAGGCTGCGATACATGGGAGCCATGCGGGTTGGCGCTGACAGGCCTCCCTATGGGACTTACTGCACAAAAGCGAAAGAAGGGGCATCCGCTGCTACTTCTGGGATTGTCTCCAAAAGTTTCGGGTCTATCGACTTGCCGATTTGCATGCGGGTTGGCCCGTTCATCCGCTTCAAAATGGTACCGAGTTTGTCCAGATCCATCCAGGTTAAGGTACCTTCAGGCTGCGATACATGGGAGCTATGCGGGTTGGCGCTGACAGGCCTCCCTATGGGACTTACTGCACAAAAGCGAAAGAAGGGGCATCCGCTGCTACTTCTGGGATTTTCTCCAAAAGATTCAGGTCTATCGACTTGCCGATTTGCATGCGGGTTGGCGCTGACAGGCCTCCCTATGGGACTTACTGCACAAAAGCGAAAGAAGGGGCATCCGCTGCTACTTCTGGGACGGTGCGTCGATGGGGACTAGTGCATAGTAGTCCGAATGGTGATTCGATACTTTCCTCTGAATCTCATCTTTGGTTGTACCAGATGCACAAGCTAATGCTTTACTATTCAATACGATATGATATTGATTTACAACAAAAATGGACTGAAATAAAAGAGCATATTAAGGCTTACCTTTGAAGTATTGTAAATGTTGAGTCACAAGGTTTTTTTGGAACTACAAATGGCGATTACCCTTGATTCAGGCAAATTACAACAACTCCTGACATCCATACGTGAAAACTTGCAAAGAACTTCAAAGCTTTACCTCCAAGAAATGGAGAGTATTAAACGTGACGTTGGTAGCTGAAAATCTCCAGCTATTCAGAAGAACGAACGAAAAAAGTTGATCGTCTGATATGAAGGTCCCAACCGGCAGACTACAATACTAACCGCACCCTCTGACGTTATTATGATGCAAAATGACGTTTATTTCTTTCTGTGAAAAACCAAGTTCAATGTTCACGATAGTCTCAGTTCAAAACGTTGTCATTGTATTTATGATGCACAGCCTTATACAAATACAAAATACAACGTCTCGAAAAAAGATTTTGGTCACGAGTCAGTAGAAAACAGCACAATGCTGTACAAAATCATATCACGCCAAAAGGGGCTGAGAGTTATAACGAAACACACTAGTAGGCCTACGCATGTATTATGCAGTACGTGTGTAACTAGCAATGGTTCCTAAATCTTGCTTGTTGCAGAGAACGCAAGTAGAAGCATTACTTGCATGGAGAGGTTGTTAACGCACTCGCCTTAATAAAACAAACAAAATCATACAAGCAAACAAGCAAACAAGCAAACAGACAAAAGACTGATTTTTTTTCTGTAATGACGGGAAAACAAAGCCACCCCCAAAATAATCGCTTTTAAGTTTTCATTTTAAACCAATACACGTAATGCTGACTTGGAAATTAGTGATTTGTTGAACTAGAGGTAAAATAAATGCTAGTCAAATTCAGCTGTTTTCCACTCGACTTTGGGAAGAGTTTATAGAAGTGTATTATCTCCGTTCATTTATTCCGGTACTCCTATGTGAGCAACATAAAATAAATGATTTCATAACCTCAAAATAAATGACTATAATGGTACCAAGTTACTACGTGGTATGGAATAAGTGCCACCTGATATCAAAACAAATTAAAATCGTAGATATTTGTCACGATCCCTCTAGATTGGATGAAAGGCTTGTTTCATTGGTAAGAGGAGTCATGAAATTTAGCACCCCCATATACACACACAAAGAACTCATGAGGTTAATAAATATTTAATTATCATAAACTGTCTACACCATGTAGGAAAAAAAAGAGCGCATATTTCAGGTAGACAATGGCTCGACAAAAAATGTTTAAAAATGGTTATAATAAACAGTACTCTGATATAAACAATGCTGCAGTGGTGTATAAACACTTCCTTCTAAAACACAAGTCTGTGATCAGAGGCCACCGTGTGCATAGCGATGCTCAACAAAAGAGTGCCAAATTTAGAACCTAGAGGTGGCTCAGAGGTCATGGATAGATCGTACACAGTGGCACGTATCCATGGAGCTAACATGTGTGGTTGTATTCGAGTTGTTAGGGATGCATTCAACGCGCTATTTTCGAGTTTTCACCTCGAAAAATCGATATTTGTTTTTCGTTTGCTTTACTTTCCTGGCATTGAAAAAAGTCACACACTTCTGAACGATAATAGATCATTATCATGTTGCAGCCATTTCATTTTTTCCCATTCAAATCAATATAACCAAAGCGAGGCTGGAAGGAGAACAAGTCTGGTTCCTTTTTGCAGAAAAAACATTATGGAGACAATCCTCCTCTTCGGGTGTGAAACTTGGACCCTCACTGAATCATGGCCAAGTCTCTTGATGGCTGCTACACCCGGATGCTCTGGATGGCCTTCAATGTCGACTGGACGCAGAGAGTAACCAACAAGCAACTCTATGGTGACCTCCCTAAGTTGAACAACAAGATAGCAGGAAGACGGATGCGACTGCTGGCAGGGCACTGCCTGTGACACCCAGAGCTGCCTGCTAGCACAGTCATCATCGCGGAACCAACCCACGGGAGGATGAACCGTGGGCGCCCGTACAAATCTATGGTGAAGACCCTGATGGAGAACAGTGGCGCCGCGACTGCAGATGATCTTGGGACACTGATGATAGGAACAGGACGTGTGGCGTGCCCGTCATCTTGCCCGACACAAGTGGTGCAAGCTGCAAGCGACCAATGATGATGATGATGGACTGCCATCATGGTTTGATGAGTCAGGCCCAGTGAACCTGCTTATCTCATTGTGTATTTAACGGGTTGATGTCTTGATTTTTATGCAATTTGTAAAATCTTCAATGCGGAAACCATTGTGCAGGCTATTGTACAATAATCGAATTGCCCATGACGGATTATATGAACAATGGTTAGCACAATGCTTTCACCATTGAAGGGGGCCTTTGGGATAGAATTGATAGCGTGCCCGGATTGGTCTATGTCACAGAATCTTATGAATCAACGAACTTTACTGTGATATATGCAATTTGCTCACACATCATACGCAGTCGGTAGAGAAACAAGTAAATAATAAATGACAAAATGAAAGTAACAGTCTTTTCGTGCCTTGTTTTTAAAATTTTAAATTGACTTTACAACAAAAGAACGTCTTGGGAGAAAGTGTCGGTAAATAATTTTACATTAAGGAGACATTTGTTGTCGGGTTAATGTTATGTCTCTCTCAGAACGAATTGTAAGGCAAGTTGCATCATAAACAATTGCTCTGGTAGAAATAATCTTGTGCACTAGATTATTGGAATGGCTCCCTAAAGTGTCCCTTTGGTTGTTATAATTGCGCTTTTTGGCTCGTTTATCACATTTTAATAATAATGTTTATAGAGTACGCATTACGACCTTCATCAATGGTTTTAAAAAATGTATTTACGCACTTCGATTTACATCAATGTTTTTGCAGTGAAGTAATGTGTTTTGCATAGCAATCTAAAATCTCAAATATTTGTAACGAATATAAACTGCACAATTTCCGCAAAATATGAGTTTGATGTTAGCAATAGCAATATACCAGAAAAAATATTCACTTGCAACCGGGAATGCAGTCGAGTTTATATTAAGTCAGTCACATATTCAGTCACATAGTTCAACATTCAGTCACAAGTTCATCACAAGTCCATTCACAAGTCCGACTACAAGTGATGAAGGTGCATTGAACAATAACAAATGAATGCCAATGTCACAGCTCATTTGACTAGCGTGTGATTTTAATTGGAGAACTAGTGACTACTTGCATGGACTAGTGATGGACTCAACTACATTATTCCCGCAGACAACACAATAATTAATAACCGCAAAAGCGTCGAAATAAAGATGTTTTGATTATTTACAAATAAAGTTATAAAAGTTTGTATGTATGATTTACTTTTTTCCCCCTGATAACTAATGGCTGAGCGATCACATAAACATCTTTGCAGAATTCATTTGGGTAATGTGGAAATAGGCTGGCTATGTACACGTGATTAGGTGGTCACAAAGTAGATTACTGTAAAATATACGCATTTTAATTGTGCATAAAAGTCCCTATCGTATTTTACATGAAACTTGAATACACTATTATATTGCTATTAATTCCCTTCTGGGCAATTCCTTTTTCATAGTTCAACATAAGCAGTATTATTTATATTTAGCTTTTAGAAAGTTGACGATGGATCGTGAGACATCATCACTTTTTTGTCCACTAACTATTCTGATTTTGACAATAAATCACTTTATTCACATGAGTTTTTACAAGCGTTATGCATGGCTACCGTCGATGTGGATGTACATGTACAAGAGTTTGAATATAATTTTTCATATGCTTGTAACTCCGGTAGATGCTATTTTGCCACCACGTCCAACGATCCTTATTATTCTACAAACTCGTCCAAAACGACTGACGTGCATAAAAATAATTTCCAGCGAACGGTACAGTAAACGTTTGAAATAATTTCAGGTCGAAAGTTACATGTCAATTTCAACTGCAAAAAGGTTGTTCCAACAATTTGCAGACGGGTCATGGAATGTTGAAGTCAACTACACATTATCGCTCAAAGCAGTTTATTAACATATTCTGGTTCTTTGCATTCTGTGATAACACAACCCAGCTCGGCACTCGTTGACCTCCGAGAGAAATAAGTTTGTAAGCAAAATTATTTTTTTTCAAAATAGTATTCACACCGAAGTTAAGTCAACCGCTGGCCACGCGATCTTGCAAAACTGACAGAAAATTCCCATTTTCTCTATAATTAGCTCACTGTAATTTGACTATACTACGACTCTTGTATGCATATTCTGTCGCGTCTATAATATCATTCATTTTTCTGTTTGCGATTACCATAGTGACAGATGAGCCACAATCAATGAACATTCACCGAGTAATATGTTCCTGTCGTGACATTGGCATCACATTCAGACCGCAGCTTTAATGTGGGAGGGTTTTTACATAAGGTAGGGTTAAACATTCATACATCTTTAGCTTCAAGTAACCGTTAGCTAAGATGCTAAAACTGTTAATGTGTGTTTGGGGTTCTGAATCGAGTAATTCAGAAACAAAATAACGATTGGTGTTTAACTTCGTTAGTGTTAAATCTGAAAAAAAAATGAACAGATACATACAGGAGACAATATTTTGGACATCATTCAACCTGCACGTTGTCAGTCCTTAGTTATTATTATTCTTTTTATATATTTTTTATGTATTTAGTTTTATGCCGAGGCCTCTATGAGGCCTCATAAAAGCGGGCATAAACATACCCAAATGTGGGCATTAGAAGGCACTTGTATGCTAAATGACATCGTTGGCATCACACTTTGTGATACATCTTTACTGAGTACAGGTCAGCCACTGCCATCTGCTGCCCGTCCGCTGTGATTGTAATACCATAGGGGTCGTAAAGACCCTGGGCCACACAGCTGATAAACTGACCAGCACGACCATGGTGGTGAATGTGACCGGTGTTGACTTTGCCTGTAATCGCTGCAAAGTAGATACCCGAGCTGTTGCTGCATACACCCCTGCATGATTTCACCGGTTTACCGCCGATGGTTGGTTTTATTGTGGCGACTGTAACAGGGTTGCCACCAGACACATCCACTATCTCCACTTGTCCCTGCTCCCAGTCACTGACCACAATCCATCCATTGCTCATTACAGCCAAGAAGTCAGGTCGTATCTTCAATGGCATGGTATGTAGGATAGCACCATTTCTGAGATTGAGCTCAATCAACGCCTTCATCTTCTTATCACCGACCATGATGTTACCATTGGGCTTGACAGCTACGCTCACAAGAAGCACGTCTGTCTTGCCAACCTCATCATCTGGCACAGTGTGGAAATCACATTTGTGCGTTGTGTCCCTATGGTAAACCATTATCTTCTCGGGATGAGCACACACCCACTGATGCGATAAAGCAACGACATCATCTGGAGGAAAAACCAAAATAATTTGGAATAAACTGATCAGATAACTGAATGTATTTTGACGAATTGCTCTTGTCAAACAAAAATCACTCAAAATTATTACCTAGAATATCTGGCTGTTTGAGGGGCATGTGATTGTGATCCAACACAGACCTTCTCAAGTTCAAATCACCTTGAACAGTTTTGTTTTAAAACGCATATGCAACGTCCACGCATTAGTTTGTATAATAGTTTTGATTAAAAACCTTTTTATTCGCCAAAGAAAGGCCATCATAAACTGCGGATGTAACACGGTATTAGGAATTATGAGTTTCAAGTATTCAAGCCTTTTTTTGGTTAGCTAGCATCGTATTGATATTTTCGTTTGGGTGTAAAAAAGGGATACGTATTAGGACACCTTCTGGCACCTGGTGGCACTCTTTACTTCGAATGTTTTTAACATTAAACACATTTCAAAGACTAATGAAGTAAAATTGTAGTTCACTTATTCCCCTGTTTTTTTGTTGGTTGCTTTTGCAGGACACTATAAAATTAGTATACATACATTATTTTTAATAGCTTGGTAGGATGGTATATAGCAACTACAATGCCACTTTAGAAACAACTTTAACAACTTAGAAAACACACTTTACGCCGGAAAGAATTGCGAATCATGAAACAGGTTTTTATAATGTCTATGATTAATGCATTGTGGATGAGGCCAATTAAGAGCACCGTTTGTTGTTTGTGTATAATATGTCTTTGAAATTTAAATTTCACAGCAATTTATTTCAGAAAAAGAAGTACGGAGTAGAGGACGCGGATAAATACTTTTGGTAGCTGTAAAAAATGGAATGAGAAAAAAATATAAAAGCCAATAGGCCTACATCTTTCATTGCAGGTTTAAATGGGAAAAGACATTAAATGTATGCGCACAAATAGCTTACTTGCAACTGTCAGAATGGTGTTCTTGGCTTGTCCCTGGTTGTTGTAGATTACCACTCGCTTGTTCTTGCCGTCAGTCACTGCGATCTCGCCAGGTTCAGCAGCAGCAGCAATGCCTCTGGCTCCTTTAAACTCCCCTTCACCACTCCCCCGCTTGCCGAATTCATGATGCAGTTGCCACTTGTCCCCTTCGTGCTCCACCTCGCCCAGATCGATTACACCAGCTGTCTGACTCTTCTTGAACCTCAGGTACCAAAGTTTGTGGGGATACTGTGGAGGATGCTGACTGCTCAGCTTTGTCAAATCTTTACTGATCACGGGATATAGTGAAATAAGGTTGCAGTCTGATGCATTACTCGTTACGTCCTTACCGGTGCTATGGGAATGCCTCTTTCTATGCAGCATGCCACTCAGTGTCTTCTCGTGCTTACCAGTCCCCTAATTTGTTCTTCTTTGGAGGTAGTGATTTCATCAAGAAGTCTTTTCTCTTCAGATTTGACCTCCGCTATGACCTCAGCAGCTCTGCCCTGCACCCCCTTTCGAGCCTTCGCAATGTTGCTCTTGGCTATCTTCTTAGCTTCAATAGTGTCCTGCAGAGACAACTCAAGGCTTTGTATGTCTACCCAAAGCAAAAAAGTCATTCTTCAGTGACTTTCTGTATTCTCTTGAAGCCGTTCCGGTGTCCGTGATGTCATGTGTGGCGGTGGGATGATCTACAACTGTGCAGACTTGGCAGATCAGTTCGTTGCATGTCTTGCAATATAATTTCACGCTCTCCTTGTGTTTGTGACATTTGTACTGATCCGGTTGTTTAGTCACATTCACCTTCCCCTGACGAATGTCATCCAAAGTTGCTACTGCATGGTTTGCCGACACCGGGAATCGTAAGTGTGTCTTGCGGCAGGTGGTACAGATATTCATTCCGCAGTCGAGACAGTGATGCAAAGCCTCGTTATCCTCGTCGCATGTCTCACAGAGAAACTTCGAGTCTCCTGAGCATGCTACCTTCTCCTGTAATTCAAATTCTTCAATCAGACCAACCAAACGGAAGTTGGTCTTGAGGCCCTGGATGCCAGACTGGGGAAGAACCGTCTCCTTTGGGTTCTTGTATTTTTCTGTGCAGATGCTGCACTCAAGATGAATGCCGATCTTCTCAAATGCAGAGCCTACAGATGCCGCAGTAGCCATGCCTGTGCCAAATAATATATGATATATTTCGACGTCAAGCTTAAGGGTCGTAAAATAAATCAAATTATGATCTTTGTCTTGTGCGGTGAAAAATTGGTATCTATTTTTGAGTGCAGTCAATAAAATGGCGCTCAAAACGAAAGGGACCAATCCTACTCCGTACACGAAAGATTAAATTAATGGCGATTGTTAATTACTGAGTTTTCTTTGGTTAACTGCTCAGGGGCCCGACATTTCTTGGTTAACAGTCATTGTTGTTGACAGTGTCCCAATCTTAATTGTGAGCGAGGTGACTGTCAAATCAATTACATGTTTTCAGTGCAATTTTTGGAGTATAATTTGCTTAAATATTTAATATTCAAAGGAGTAATTTGTTGTTATTACTTCGTTTTTACTCGGTATGTTAGTGTGGAACCAAAATGTTACAAAATATTGGTCAACAGTGCCATTTTACTTGAGGTTAGTGGTTTCATTGTGTCTGATTTTAACGATTTAATTATGAAATGCTTCTTTGTTTAGAATCTTAGAAGATTTAAACAACTAACTCGCAGATGTTTGGCCATTGACATTTGTTTTAAAGGGAGTTCAAGTTTTATTTTAAAAGTGCCGAGAGACTCTTCCTTTGAATTAACAGTGTTTACCTTTGTATAGTTTCTTGTACGGTCTAGTAGAGACAACTTAAGACGGGCGGCGACAAGCTGACACGCTACTGGCCAGGGAAACGAGCTCAAGGTAAAAAAACCAAATAGAAATGCATTCTTTTATACACTTGTATTATATAATTCGATATAACTTTTAAAAATATTATTTCGTTTAACAGCGTCATAAAAGTGTTGTGCACGGAAGAGATGGTTTGTATTTTTTTCTAGGTTCTTTCTTTCAAATTTCATGTTTCAAGAATTCCGTCTTTTTTGGCTAAGCAAACACCATACAAACGACTTTTTCAAGAAATAACTTTTAAGAATTACGTTTCCATTATTGTGTTATTTTTCATGACATTTTTCGTCTTGATTAAACAATGCCTAGTAATATTATGTTCAAATTCAGTTACGTGCGAGAAAGTTAGTGTATTTTTGGGGATATATTTACAGATAAATCACGCGCACTAATTATGCTGATAAATAGTACAGATAATCTAATATCAAGTGTTTTGTTTGTTGCTGTGTTATATTCACCCACTGGCGAGTAGGCGTACTTGGATGTGTATTTTGGACCTGCTTGTTTAAGCTGTTTAACACTGATTCGTCTTTGCTATTTCTCTATGTCATATTAAACTTATGTTGTAGCCAAGGCGACTGGATGAAGATGATTTTTTGTAATTTTTTTAATAAATTTTACAGCACTTCACCGTGTAATGAGAAGCTTGAGTAGTCTTGAATTAGAAAATCCGAAACCAATTGATCTTTAGATCTTTTCTTTATATAGAGGAGCATTCAAAATAATCTTCATGGGTGCAAACCTGTATTAAAATTCGCATAGACACCAGCGCTAAATGCCCATACTTCAAAATCCATTTCAAAATACTCAGAACTCTCACAGGTATTAAAGCTGCACAGACTAATGATGATAAACATGTCATCTTTCATTTTCTTTTTATTTTTCAATGGGTTGACAATTGACTTTTCGAAAAACTCTCACTCAAAGAAGACGACCCCTAGTTTCCCCAAAGCGGAAAGTAGCCATCTTGAAAAACGATCCCTCCACAGCATGGCAAAATAGCACCACTTTCGAGTCCAACTGCATCCTAAATGCTCAGAATTGGAAGCCCCCGAATCCGGGCAAGGGATTCATTGCCATATCTCTTCAATTCCCTAATTTTATGGCTCTCATAATTCTCTAATATAGAATATTTTCAGGGTATAACTTTTTTTATGAGCTCGGCGGATGGAATTAAGCCCATTTACCGGTGTGCACCCTGATGAGTGCCTTTGGGATAAGCGCACTGCTAACATACAGTATACCTTTAATGCATAATGCAGGTGTGCGTTTGGGGTTCAGAGGCAAGCAACCCTGGAGCCAATTTTTGTTCCCTACTTTGTAGCCCTGTATCTTGAGTTGGTTTCATCTGTATTAAGGCAGCTTGCAGTACGTGGTTTATTTCTGGCGCTAATAACTGAGCTAAAGGTCCCTACCTTATAAAGAGTTTGGTCCAATCCAGTGAAGAATTGTCTACTCGGAGGACAAACTGGGACAAAATCGGTCAGGGAAAGGAGCCTGGAGGAATAGAAATTAAACTGAAGTATATGGTTTCCCTATTATACAGTGTGTCCCCAAAAGGGTAATTCACCAAACAAAAATAATATACGAACAAGCTGAGAACTGATTGACCATTGACAATCTGCATTTCTCTGAACATGCATCACTTATCTCAATGTCTTCAAAAAAGGTATGTAATAAGTTTTTGTGGCAGTTTTTGGTGAAAATTGTGAACGCAACCAGACATAAGACAAGAATCTTCAAGGACTATTAACGAAAACATGACAAAATATGGGGAAATAACCTAGGTAGGTAAAAAAGCAAATTTCGTTTGGTGTATATGGATACTATGTCAACGAATTTAAAAACATTAGTTATAATATAAGTCGTGGTCCTTTAAAATACCTACAATTGTACACTTGGGAAGGGGGTCAAACCCATGTCTCTCCTGCTCGATCCCATCAGGTATACAATTAAGACTAAATATAATGGTCACGTGACCAACCACGATGCATGCTACTACAAGTATCGGGGTACGTTTCTTGTTCGTTGTCTTTGTGAAAATCCTTCAATATAGTACGGTATATAAAGACAAAGTGCAAGAAGTAAAGCTCTTCTGATGCAAACAGGTACAGCGATTCTCCACCTAGGCCCTACCCAACACGAGACAGACCACGCCACAGTGACTCATAGCACAGTCAGTTATTCATTGATAGTGTAGCGAAATTATGATCCGAAGTTAGGACGCCCTCTTGTAGTTAGTTTATTCATGAATGCCGTGACGCATGCATACTGCTGTGTGGCGACTAGACGTCTTCGGGAAAGCCAGTCTGCGTCCCCGCCCTGTCAAACTCTGTGTCCGCGTCCCGTCAAAGTCGTTTAAGCAGTTCTGTCCAGTCCGTTGACACGTCAAGTTTAGCAAGCCTTAGGCCAAGAAGACTAGTGAGTAGTTCAATTCAGCCCAGTGCACTCTTTTCGGAGTACATAACACTCAGATAGTCAAGCTCTTCCAATTGACCAGGAATATCATTTGTGTATTTGTTTTCTTCAGTGTGTAAACCTGCTTATGTGACGTACAGGCGCCACTTAATTAATTAATCCTTTCAAGGTGATTTGTGTACGAATAAATTAATAATCCCATCAACCCTCGAGTTTGAGTGTCCTTGTCTAGGAACTTCAGGCTCCAGTCCCATCCCCTTCCCCTGGGTCAACCTAGGTACACCCAGTAGTGTCTTGTCCAACCCCGGTTTGTGTGAAAGGAAGCCGCCTAGAGCGCCTGTCGGTAGACTGCCCCCAAACGGACCTGTTCCCCTGGCCTTCCCTACAACCGCTCGTCGGGTCGGCAGAGGGCAATCCCAGGCTACGTCGACACAGGCCGCCACAATAGCATTATCTAGTTGAAGTGTTTACCACACTGCACAATGATAATTGTGTACATAAAAATAGCCTGGGCTGTACTTTGACTATTAAAAATGCCGTAATGGGGCAGAACTTAAACAAATAGAGATTCGCGTTTGTTGTTACAAACGCAGAGTGGTCGGGTAGACAACTATTTTATGAAATACTGTCCAGTTAAGTTATGAATATTTTTTATGTAAGAACAAAGGATCACGAAATTGAATCATTTCCGGGACAATCAAATATTTTGTTAACAAAAAATGCATCTTTAACGGTGTGATAAATTTTAGTAAATTTTTTTTATATACATATACAAGTTATTTCTGGCTTGATAACGTCATTAGCCTAAAACGGGAAGTGAAAACTGATTTAGTTCGGAGTGGATGTTCATTGTGGAGTTAAATAACTTATGAAAATGTGCAAAATATGACAATGCATTCAAAACACCAAACTTCCGGTTTGATGAGGTCACAGTATCTGGAAGCAAAAGGTGAACATTCTAATGGTATCGTTATTTTGGCTATGATAAACCACATGAATCAAATGATAGAATTAAATTTAAATTTAATACATGATCGTTGGCAAATTCTCATAGAAGTAACTTACGGTTTGATGACAGATTTGAAACCTTGCCAAATTATTTGTGGTTAATCAAAGCTACGACGATATACGACATGGATCAAATGATTAAAACTAAATCTAAAATATGGTTTTTTTTCAAATTCTCCTAAAAGTTACTTCCGGTCTGATAACGTCTTGAATTTGAAACCTTGCCAAGTTATTTGTGTTTAATCAAAGAATATCAAGGGGTGATTTGGTAAAATTTGAACCTGTGGTGTTAAAATTAAAGAAAGCAAACACCATTTTATGTGCCGCTAGGGGGCATCCTTTCGGATGATGACGTCATCACACTGTTTTTGTGTCTGGCATTCCTCACCAAACACTTTCATAATATATATGTCTGTAGGAAAATGTATTCGTTTGAGTTATATTTGGTTTTTATTGCACTTCCGGTAACACCGGAAGTGAAGGTCAAGCGGTTTTGTGTGCGGAACTCAAAATGTTTCTCAAGGCATAGTCTACAACCTCACTACAAAACAAACACGCTACCGTATTCAGTTTAAAAGATATGGTGCAAACTATTTTGTTAAAAATTTGCCCTTAAATCGCTTGTAATTGATGCCTGATGACGTAACAAAATGTGTAACATCTTCATAACACGGTACAAGTTCGCACTATGTTTTACGATCATACGATAAATCGTTTGGAAGAAATTTTGCTTTGTTTTGATTTCAAGCTAACTTCTTCATTTTGAATTCACCTAACTTTGACCTTCCGGTAGACCCGGAAGTAAAGGTAAAGCAAGTTCACGTACACGACAAAAAAATTTCATCAATTAATGGTCT